TAAATCTAATAATTATAAAGTTATTATAATTTAAGTAAGAAAAAATGTAAACGTATATCTTCGTGAAATATCTTTTAAGTTCTACCTATTACGGAATACCCAGGAACGGGGTACGTTATTGTTCTATTTAACTATTTTCATTATAATATTTTGGTAATCATACGAATTGTTTTTATATTCATTTTTTGTTTGTTACAGTTTTTTTTTTACCCTCTAATAAATCAAGTTCTCATGCTTAGTCGGGCGTTTATCATTTAATTAATAACCTGCAGAAAATCTCCGCCCGACTTTAATAACATTTTCTTATAACATTAAGTCGCTTTTGAGATAAGTATTAAATATTTTAAAGTTTTACTTTAATATGTAATGAGATGTTGATTTGATAAAAAATATGTTCATTAAGAAAATTTAAAAATATATTTTAGCTCAGTTTATTTATTCTTTCGTCCATTCTAATACAAATTGCGATTTAAATTTGACTTAATTAACAAAATCATTTATTTTAGTTTTTTTTATATTATGAATCAAGATCAATAAACAGTTAACAGAATAGAAGAAATACAAGTACATAGTATGGTATGACAGATAACAGAGCTCGCAAAGTTTTTACTTTTGGCCACCATGAGCGCTGCCATAGATTGCATTATCCCCGCCCAGTACCTACTTCTCACCAAGCGAATAAGGCGATTTTATAGATTCCAGAAACAAAAATACAATGTGGGACAAGTGACACCCTAATTACATTGTAGATGTACTTTATTTTGTATTCTTTTTTTAATAAATACTTAGTTTTATTTACCTACTCAACAATACTAACAAAAGTTTTTTATTTTAGAAAGGAACTGGCTTCTGAAACAAATTTTTAAATTTCGAAGCCGGGGTTTCAATAATATTATTATCTGGTAAATGTTGTAATAAAGATTTTCATTAAAAAAAATTGAGTTTTTGGACCTCCATGCTGTTATAGTGTCGCACTCAAAGTTAAATTCAACACTAATTTTATTTCATAATAGCACCGCTCGTCTAGGGGTACCAGATATAATTACAGAATGCTCTTTCAGATGCAGACTCACTAAGCAATATTGGATCATTAAACCATCAATTTTACACTGGAATAAGCTGTGAATGAAATAAGGATCGCTACCTACTAACCGACAACGATTTTACATAACACTAAGCATTAATGAAACTCTACAGGTGGTCCATTCTACGAAAATCAAGTCTGGAGAAATGCAGGAGAATATTATCAGTCTTATTTCCATAGAATGAGCGAGTTTTGAATAAAATATAGGTACATATTGGATTGAAATATTAAATATTTAAATAAAAGATAAATTATACAAATATTATTCGAAATTATGGTTTTTAGTATTGTTAGTTGAAATTTTTAATTCGCTTACTTCAGCGGATGTGGCTGCCATGTAGTAAATAGCAGTTATGAGTAGTATGCTCAGACTAAGATTTATAAACACTCTTTCATAAAGAAAGAATTATATTTTTTTTCATGAAATTGTCTACCATGTCGGGATATTTATCATATTTACTCATTATCTTTATCAGAACTCTGTAGACAGATGTCGAATCTTGTATTTTTTAAGTACGAGCGGGATGATAAATAGCTAGCCTAGCATAGAAAAACTTGAATTAGTGTGTTAAAAGTATATTTATTGTTCGACATAGTCTCCTTGAAGCGCTATGCACTTCATCCATCTATGCTCTAAAGCCTTGATGCCATCCCTGAAGTGGTTTTCTTCAAGCCCTTCAAAATAACTGTCCACGGCAGACATCACCTCGCTATTATTTTCAAATCTTTGTCCACCTAAAAATTTGAGCTTAGGGAATAGATGAAAGTAAGATGGTACCATATCAGAAGAATAAGCTGGGAGTGGTAGCAAATCATAATTTAATTCATTGAATGATGCAAGTGTGAACGCGCGCATTATCCTGATGAAAGATTTTTTTTTTAGCCAGGCCGTGTCTTTTTTCACGAATACACACTTGTAATTTATCCAGTAGATCAGCATAATATTCGCCATTTATGTTTTGTCCTTTTGGAAGGTAATCAATCATCAATATACCCTTCGAATCCCAAAATACTGACGCCATGACTTTCCCCGTTGATTTCACGGCTTTTGCTTTCTTTGGAGCCGGGGATTCTTTTTCCGTCCATTGTTTAGACTGAATTTTTGAGTCAGGTACATAGTGGTGAACCCAAGCCTCGTCTGTAGTAACAAACCGTCGCAGAAAATCAGTTGTATTGCTCTTAAAGCGGTCCAAACATTCTTGTGAAATTTGCATACGAACGCGTTTTTGGTCAACTGTAAGCAATCGCGGCACCCACCTTGCGGATATTTTTTTCATACATAATTTTTGAGTCAAAAGTAATGCGCCCGTTGTTTAGAGATGCCTACGGTATCAGCTATCTTGGAAAGTTTCAATCTTCGGTCAGCTAAAACTGCATCAAGAATTTTGATCACAATTTCTGGAATGGTGGCACTTTTTGGACGTCTTGACGATGTTCATCTTGGGTGCTGGTACGGCCATGTTTAAATTCAGCCACCCAATTTTTTATGGTCGCATATGAAGGAGCATTTTCTCCCAAAACATCCTTCATCTCCGAAAAATCTCTCCACCTTTTAATCCTTTAAAATGCAAAAACTTTATCACAGCTCGTAGCTCAATTTTATCCATTTTGCAGAAAAAACAAAAGAATGATTTTTGAAATGTCATTATTTTAAAGAAAAACTATACGATCGATTTGAAATTTGGAACACTGGCAGCTAATGAACCAATGAGTAAAATACTTAGGAGATTTTATATCGTTATTATACAAAATATGGGTTGGGCTAGCTATTTATATTCCCGCCTACGTATTGATGAAAAGTTACGTCATCCAAAAGTAATCCTAAAAAAATGTTCAAAAACAGGGTATTTATCTAAAAATATATTAAATTTATAATAAATAACCTTTAAGCATTACAACCACAAACCACAGTAGCTTTAAAAGTATTCTGAAATCTTTTTTGAGCATAATTTTTTATATTCCTTAAATGAATTTCTGACGATGCGTATAAGCGAATCTACTTTTATGATGAAATAAGATAGTGTAAGATTTTTTTTTCATATTTAGATTTAATTGAAGATATGTATATTTAAATAAATACTATGAATCGTGAATTGTTATAATAAATTGAAATTGAAATAAAGTATTTTTAAGATGATGTTGATAGCTTGGATAATTATTTTAAAAGTGAACCATAAACTTCTAAAATATATATTTATATTTCGTATTATATCGTATTATATTTAAACACTGTAAAACAGTTTTGATCATACCCTATACACATTGAACAAGATGGAGTAATATATTTTCTTGGGGATGCCCGTTTGTTTGCAGTAAAATATGGTTTATGATATTGCTGCTATTTTCTTGTTTTCGTAACATATATAACATAGAATTTTGCGGCTCAAACGAGGCTATGTCATCATATAATATAAAATCCAACTCGGAGGATTTAACAAAAGGCTTGTGTGGTGCACTGTGCACATAAAACGAGAGGATGGTAGAATATTACATACGGGTAAACACGCTCACAATGCTGAAGCCGAACGTAGTTTACAGGGACGGAGTTCCAGTTACAAATTGAACTAGTGACATTATTTATTTCTACGTCACTATTTTAAGCTCAAAATATTAATTCCACTCTGAATCACCTTTACATTACTAATTGAAATGTGAAAATTTTATTAGACTGCATAAATTATATCTTATATCATCCACGTAGTATCCAGGAAGTTACCCTGTGTTGAAAGAATTCGGTACTTTCGGAGCCTATTTGAAGCAAACAAAAAATTAAAGTCTTTTATAATTTAGATTGCTTGGAAAAAATGTATTGCAACTTAATTAAAAGGATATAAAAAATATATACCTAGCGCTGTTGAGTCATTTTTTTGAATACTAAATTTTAAACATTGCAGATATAATTAAATACATGTATTGATAAATGTAATAGACTCCTTTATTCTATTAAAAATATCTTCCAGATTCGACTCTGTGTAACTTCTAGCTCGTTTACTATCTAGGTCCCATTGTGGCAAACTTATTGAAAAGGTTGCCTGTCTTTAATAGGTTTTTAATGATAATGAACCAACAGATCTACAAACAATCACGTATTAGCCAAAACTTTAGAAAGAAGCACTTACGTTCTCAACTATTCATAAATAAGAACTGGAAAATTCAAAGAGAATTGTCATAAAGCTGTATTTCGAAATAACGTTTGCGTTTTAATATAATCATATTACAACTGTGTCTGAAATGAGAATCCTTTAGTTGTTTTATTTCATTTTCTTTACTTGAGCAAATAATAACAATTTGTAAAATTGAATCATTCTTTTAGTAGAGCGAGTATAAAACAACATATAAACAAATCCCTCGGGATTTTTATGTCACAATAATCTAGTCCAATAGTTAACACATCATGATATCTATTTAACATGAATAATTAAATACTTCTTCTTTTCCCTTGGGTGCCGTGTTTTCGAAAATATTGGCAATAATTTAGGCCACCCGCACCCTTTAAGCCACCACTGATGTAAAGGATGTAGAACCATTGATGGAGGTCACTAAGCCAGTATCTCATCTACGGCTGGTCTTTCCTTCAATTTTCTCTTTCAATTATTTTGAAGAAATTTGCACTTGAAGTTTCGCATGATATGCCTTAAATATTGTAGCTTCCTCATAATGATAGTATACTACATCCTTTCCCATTCTTTACATGACTGTTTCATTATCGACCTCCGTAGCCAAGTGGAACGCAGGCCGGTTTCGAGATGTTGCCATCTTTGAGGTTACGGATTCGAATCTTGATTGAACACCTAACAAAAATATATAAAAGAAAATAAACAATTGTTTTATAGAACGTTTATTTTATTCATTATAATGATGCACATGAACTGTCTTTATTTATATCGCTTACAATCACATACATCAAAGTTATACTATGCCTAGCAAATCTGGTAAATAAGTTATTAACTATTAGTACATAATCGGCTTTACTACATTGTGCAATATGATTATGATGCACGAGCTTGTGTTATCGGCAGACAATGTGATAAGTTAACTGTGAATGATATCATCATTTAAACCTCATAAATTGAAACTAATTGCTGAACTATTTAGCCTTACATTCAGAATATCAATGCTCAATATAATAATATAAAAGGCAGGTTAGGTATCAAAATGTCAATTTGAAATAGAGAAAATTTACATTTTCACTTACTTTTCAAAGTATTGTTAATGCAGATTTTTGTGAATATATCATTCACGATAAGGATATTATATTGTTTATGTTTTTTTAGACTAAATACTTCTTAAATGACAAGAAATTCTTTTGTTTTATTAGTTAGAACGAGATACCTTAGAATGCAATTAATCTTTTTTCATTATATAACTTATTAAGACTTATTAATAAAACTGTTTAATTTTAACAGTTTTATTAATAAAAGTAAAAAAAGGTGATCCGAAGAGATTAGCTCCCCACCTCCCAAAGAAAAATTTGTAAAAGTGAGTTCTAAACTAATTATTTCAGACGAAACTATCATATAATTATATGGAACGTCACTTAAGGTAAGTTCGTTTAATCATCAAATATGATTTTCACAATCATATGAACCGCTCTCAAAATGATTATCTATTATTTTTTACTCATACTTATCATAATAGGTATATTTTTGTAATCATACATGAATGTAAATATGATTATCGAAGAAACTCTTTTATAGAATAGAATCTCCACAGAATAGAATCTCCAAGTAAATAAAATCTAAAATATAAACCTCCTTGATAAATGCTTTTCTATCAATTTCATAACAAGAAGTTTCAAAGTAATGACAAATACGACACTAAAGTCTTGTGACAGTGTTATTATGATTTATGACAGAATGAATTGGAGAAGCTAAATAGTAATATTTATTAGAAATGTTAATCAAAAAGGCTAGTTGGTGAGATGATACAACAATTTTTCATATTAGTAATCATCCCTTGCATTTTGAGCGCTAATTGTAAGTGTAATTTTTTTCTAATTGTAAATATCATTGTACCTCTATAATCCTAATTATTAAAGTAGTTAAATACTCAGTTACATGGGTACAGTTTTGGCTTTTTTAAAATTTCGTAAGAATGAACTTTGATAGATCGCGGCAACGGTATTAAGGCTTTGCCATTATTCTAATATAAGGTGTAATATTATTATGTGCCAGAACTACGTAGAGTGGATGAGTTACATATAATAATCAACTTTTTTTATAGGAGTAACATTGAATTCACGGAAAAATAATAAGCTGTTTCATACTGTCGGCGACTGTAGGTATAATTTTTTTTTTACGCTGATAACATTTTTCCATGAATTCAGTGTTAGTCCTATAGTAAAAGTTGTTCAGTATATGTAACTCATTAAATCCACGAAGTTCTGGCATATAATATTATTACACCTTATATTTTACGTATACGGTAAAAGTATTATATTTGCCTATTACGTAAGTAAAAATGCCTTATAGACATAAATGACAAAAAGGAGTCAATGGCGATCTCAAAAACGTGGTAATCCGCCCTATTCTTATTATTTTCTTTGTTTAGCTGTGACTGTGACTACCCTTTCTACCTTCTATGCAATGTATTTTAAATATAGATTATAGCAATTTATTCCGTTTTCTTGAATTGCGAGAGAGACCGTTTATGATAATAAACAGTACAGTAAGTAAAAACTTCTTTGTGTACTACTACACAAACTGCAAGGTATTTAAAAATTAGTCACCGGGTTGTTGCACGTCTCTTACAGTTAGTTTATTCGATTGCGAGAAAGTAAGCGAATTGACAAACTGATAGTGAAATTTTATATAAATAAAATTATGAATGTAACTGTTGTTATTTACTATTCACTTTTGTATTTCATGTGATTACAAGTTATTTAAGTATAGTGCTTTGGGGTAATCCCGAAATTATGCAAATAACATTAAAAATCAGTACGTTTATTCTCTCAAATAAAAAGATTATTTATTAAATTAATGTTTGTTTATTTGTCAACTTGATTACAGTTGATAAAAAAATGCCTCATTTAATGGTAATTCGCCTTTTTCGGAACTTCCCTATTTTCTTTATTATCTTTGGGGTAATTTCATTTTGATTTTTGCTTCTAACAAAAACTATTTTCTGCGAGCATATTACACATTAATATGCTACTGGAATATATTATAATTATAGCCGTCTTACTTGTCAAAATTATTGGGTACCTACCTACTTATTATCGATAGCTCAGTATAGGATAGGGAAATCTGAGGAAGCAGAAATAATACCAGAATCAGGTGCAAGACAACTATAGAGACTCCAGAATGTTTTAAAATATAGAACTTCAAAAATCTATCACAAAATCTACCAAAGAGTATATTTAAATATGTGTGTATATATATTTCCATAGTGATTAAAAAAAGTTTAAACTATGTACAAAAAGGATATTATTCATAACATTATTTACTAGAATTACGCTAGTCCAACAACCGTCGACGCGCGTTTTAACGCTAACTTTAGCTCTGAACAAATTTTCAAATATATATAAACTCGTTCCTACATAGAGATCTTTAAAAGTAACGTACGTTATTTACATATACAATTAAAGTATCTACGAAGTATAGTTTCCATTTATTTCTTACAGATTACGATGAAGACGAACCATCAAAAAGGAGATCGTTTTCAAAAACTGATGACGTAGAATTTGAACCAATCAACCCTCTACCGAGAGACAAAGATAAAATGTCGATGAAAAACATAAACTGTGATGATTTCTCCCGGTACGCTCTCAACTGCACCATGGAGGCTGCTTTAGAGTACAATTCTAGTAGGAAAGCACCACCTATGCCCGCGAAAATTATCGATTGGTGCAAGTAAGTATTACATATAAGACAACTAAATCATATTGCTAAGTTCCACGATTCCATGACAATAGCAACGTTCCATTTGTTTACAATTTCAAATAGACTTTTTGTAATATTAATTAATAATATCTCAATAAGAGAAACATAAAACAAATGTGTATACTGTTTATTTTATTGTAAAATAAACAATGCATAAAAAAACTACTAATATGAATCTTAATTGCAGAGCCATAAGGCATCTCACCAACTGTGCCATTGACTGGAACTCGGAGTGCAGAGAAGTAACAGAGAGCCACTTCAATGAGGAGAGCATCAAGGGCCATATGCACGTTGTCGACAATGTTTGTGACGACGAGTGGTTTTTGTCACGTGAGTTTGTGTTTGCGATTCTAGACTCTAAATCTATTTCAGTAACGGAGGTTTTACGTATATCAATAATAAATATTACTGCTTGTTATCACAATATAGGAAATAATACTACTAGCAATCAAGTTATTGTTGAATTTTTGGTTTTATTAAACTTACTGACATTAAGAATGTTACAGAAGCCAAAATTATATATAGTAATTATAAATATGTTTTATACTTACCGTTTTAGGAACAAACAATTTTCTTAACTTTTTTCTTTAAGAAAACAATAAGAAGTTTACCTTGATGTAATAGGATACCTTCAAATTTAATCTTGTTTATTAAGTTTCTATCCTTACAATGTACTCCCAAAACCTTAAAATAATTTCCAACTTTCACCGACGTTTCGCTAGGTCCATTAAGGTTTAACTTTGTTTTAAACGTTTCACTAGAATTATCGAGATGGGAAAGGAAATTTTGCTGAGAGCATCTTGGTAATTCGGCGCACTTTTCATAATGAGATATGTTTAGGAGTTGTGAACTACAATCTTATACTGTATACTCGCATAAATAGATAAAGCTGCTTTCAACCCATTTTTGTTCCGGTTGGTAAAATGCTACACGTCGCAGAAGATTTTTGTCCCCCAGTAAATCGACGCCTTTATATTATTCCATACACAAACTCACATTGCCGGTTAAAATTATATGATATTTTAATAGTTTCTAACTTAACAACAACTTTATTCAATTTTGCATTCAAAATGGTTTATTGTCTAAACATTGATGAAAATACGCTCTGTAGTAGCGAAAAGTAACAAGTCTTGTTTGCTTGCTTAATTAAGCTTGAAAAATTCGTCAGTCTTGTTAAGTTAGAGCAGTTGCCTGGATTGCGAAAGGTTATGGGTTCGAGTTTTTCTCAGAGTGCCAGTGATAAAGTGGGTTTTTTAAGTAATTTTCACTAACATTTTTATTTTAGAATTTCATTTTTTTTCTCTAATAAGTTCAAAAAATAATAATTTTGGTCGGTATAATCCTTAATTTAACTTCTTATATTGTCTGTGTGTACTGCACGTGAAAGATAATCCTTATTATAAATTTAAGTTTAAATTAATTTTCAATAAACCAAATATGAATAGTTTTCTATGAAATTTGATCATAAAACGAAATCCCAAAAATAGCTTATGTCCAAATTCACTATGAATCATGTAGGTTACAAAAACAACGTGAAAATACAATTACAAGGGGCCAAGTATGTACAACACAGTTGTACATCTGTTCTTTGAACCATTGGTCATTTGCTTAACCCAGCTCCCAGCCATGGTTAAATATTTGACCTATAGTTGGAATACTGACAATTGGTTAAGCTGACTATTGATCAAAAAACTCATTTTTCTGATATTTAACTACTGGTCGTAGATTTTAACAAATGGTTGAGTTAACCACGGGTCAAGAAATTGGCCCTTAGGCATTTTTTAGGAATATGTATGGTCTCGTGGATCTGATTATTCACCCTTTCATAGACAGGTTATGATGATTTGCCTATATGCATAGAAGCGACATCAGATGTGTGGGAGGCGTGTTATTCCACCTTCAAGCTCTTTGTTGACGAACAGAAAAATAAATCTCGCGAGTGGACTCATTATGAAACGCATTTTCATATGTGCTGGTAAGAAATTTAAACTTCTCTGGTCAAATTTCGTTAGCCAAGTGGCTCGCTCAGTTTCGGCGTGTCTTATCTCTGAGGTCCCGGGTTCGATTCCTGGTAGGATCATTGTATAAAACTTGTAAACTTTTTTATGTCGTCTAAGATCTGGGTGTTGTGGTACCTTTGTGTTTTCTAATTTCCATACTATAACGTGAGTGATGTTTTCTAATATGAATGTGAATATTTGACTACATCATATATATCACATACAAACGGTATGAATACTTTTCTTGTGATATTTCATACAAGTACAAGTTACTTGGTCAACTATTATAAAATTAAAAGAAAACTATAAATGGATCCAACTAATACGCTAAGGAACATCCTTACTTTCCAAAATCATCGTGTTTGAATCGGACTCAAATATGAAAGGTTTATTCTAAAAGTCTTCTTAAAGAGAGTTACGGATGCAGGCGATGCTGCGTAAATATAAATAACGTAATTTTTATCTTGATAGGAATTCGATTAACACTCCATTCTTTTAAGCTAAGAGTGCAATATTTCCTTTTATTATTAATAGGTAAATTATTTAAGATATTTATATTAACAATACGAATTTTCGTTCTTTATTTGCAGTGCAAGAGCAGCGTTTCGTAGATGTACTCTAGACGCTGTTTTCGGCATTGATAAATGTACTCAAGATCAAGCGAGTACATTACAAAAATTCTCTATAATAGTGTCTGAAGGCGATGTTTATCAGGTATTCTAAACCACTAACCCCAAAGACATTGTAAGTTGGAATATATTGCCTGCCTGGGATCTAACTTACAACGCAGAATACACACTAAAAAACCTATTTTTTATTTTTATTTATTAGGTTATTGCGCTAGTACTTCTCAAACAGAGCTCCCAAATTTACAAAGACTATTTTGGGATAAATAAATTCTCGCAATGGTCGGATATTATAAGATGGTTCATCCATTTTTTTTATCTTGAGCTCCTCTGTGCTTCAAAAAGTACGTAAAATCATCGATCCTGACTGCGTCTGTAGTCGTTAATACCCACCAATCCGTATTTGGCCTACACGGTGGACTATAGCCCGTTCTCCGTGTCTAACAGTAGTTCTATCAGAACTGTAGATTTACTTTTAATTAAATAGCTAATATGTTTATCTTCTGAGTGGAAGGCGTTCTTGTATTATATGCTCCAAAAAATATTTGTATGATAGTAAAACCTTTGTGATTGTTTTCCCAGGACTGTGACTCCAACATGATGTTCTCAAACTGTCCAGGAGGTGATCCTAGGCCGTCAAAGCGACACCTCAAAAGGCTTATGTCGACAGACAACAAATCTAACATACTTAAATCAAAATGGAGTGTTTTTGTACTTGTTTTGTTATTGCATTGTTTTTTCTTTTTTTATTTACAAATATAAAATCGTTATGGTTTCTCTATATTTTTTATTCGAAGCATAAGAAAATGTGACGAATGAGTTCGTTCAAAGAGAACGTATAATATTATTTATTTATATATATACTCACGGTCGAAGATATAGATACAAGTATTTTCTTACTATATAAGTACTCATATAAAGACCCATAAAATTGGGTTCAAATAAATATATACACAATTATTTATTTTTTTATTAAATCACTGGAAATCATAAAAATGGTTCTCACAATAAACATAACTATAAATGCACTCATTATGCTCAATACTCGCCAGTACATTTTATATTTTATTACGGTATTATTAATAATTAAAGGAACTTACCTTGTGAAGTTCAATTCTAATTATACGAGCAAAACGGAGATGATTGACAATGTCGGCATCAAACTACGTACTACTGCATGTAAATTGGTAATCATCTTCGAAGACATGCAAAGTATAATACCGACTGTTGAACACAACTGTCAATAGATTACCTAATCAAAATGGCGGCTAGGTATCTAAGCAATTTGCGGGCATTATATTTTATGCATTTCAAAAACTTCACTCCTCGCATGTGGCGCTATCAATTATTACGAAAATTTCAGCATGTTTCTATTGGTGTCAAGTATTAATTCCAATAAGTCTTTTAATAAGCCACAGTATTTTTTTAAAACCTAGTGTGTATAAACTACCCATAAAATAAATACCCTTTTTTTAAGACTACTTAAAATATTATTTTAAAAATCTCTTCATCAGCAATATTTTTTTTTAAATATGACTTTCTAGTGTATACAGTGGAGCACAAAAGGATTAAGCGGGAACGCAATGCCAAATCATACTAGACCACCTGGGTTTCTAAAAGCGTTGTGGTAATTTACCGTTAAAATTATATAACGATACAAAATGCTCAGACCAAAGAAAGAATGAATGAATGAAATTAATGAAAAAGTCTTTATTGTACACCAATGGACAAGGATACAATAAATTTAAATACACAATTGGCGGCCTTATTATTAAAATGTGACTTTTTCCAGGCAACCTTGCGAACTGAACAAAATTATATCTAGATTAAAAGGGAAGTAATAAAGATAAAGAAATCTTAATACAATATCTTAATTTTACTATATTTAATATATAACATATATATAAGCTTTTAGATGGTAAATAAGAATCAGACGGGTTCAGAGTGAGTGACAGATAGTGCTCATTGACTGATCAAAGACTCTTTGATTCCATGATTTTTCGGGCAAATCCAGCCATATCGTTACTTTCTTAAGGGCATCAGTAGGCTGATGATGATAATTATTATATACCCATTTTATTATCAAGACAAACAAAATATTAGTTTCTTTTATTTTTCAACAAAACTAATTAACAAGGAGAATCATACCACACCGCTACTTTCCGCATAAGCTCCCTTTAATTCCATGCAAATAAGAGCGGCCAAACCAGAACGCCTAGAATTTAGCGGTTATTATGAAATTATGCGAAACCAGCCACCACCGCTTGTTTTAAATGCAAAATTCTCAACGTACCCTAACGAGTTTCCATAAAAATTAAAGCCATGTGTGCCGAATTTCGTTTAAAGAAGGCTCGACAATTTTTTTCAAGTTATCCCGTTTGATATTAGTCCTTTTTGGATGTCCATGTTATTGATTAAAATTAACAAATAAACTTTACAATATAAGTGAGAGGTAGTATATTATGGCAAACTATGGTATTCATTTTTGCTTTCAGTACATGGTCGGATCAAATCTTATTTAATTTTATCAGAACAAAAGTACTGCATTCTTGTGCATTCATGTCTGCTCATAGCCGCATTGTTCGTATCTAGCTAAGGCACCATTCTACCGCTAATGAGATTCTGATCTATACTTTACAATGAATGAAATGCTTTTGTCTGCTCCGCAGTTAAAGAAGATCCACTAAATAATAGCAAAGAAAATATAATACGTTACAAGAAGTGACTCTCATGGATTATGTGCTCGTTAAGGTAAGTAACCATTTGGCAAGGCTGCCTCGCGGCTCTCGCGAACCAATTTGAACATTGCTGCGCACGTGGCGTGGTTCGCTATCGAGTGGTTGTCCGCGCAGTAGAAAAAGACGCATGTGTATTACCTCACGCGTTCATGACATGAAAGCTGAATTATGTTGACTTTGTAATGCAAACTGAGAGCACCGCGAGATATGCCGCTCAAATGAGCAGTCTCACGATGTTTATTCCCAAAATGAGCTCACCATCTGCTGCCTCTACAGACACGTCTTAAAGTCAAAGCCACATTGCTTAATGAGTTTACTGATACTCCGAAAATTCGATGTGGCCGAAAACTCGATTTGTCCTACCTCTTCCATGCAACCTTTACAGGATTGCATGGAAGAGGTAGGAAAGAAAAAATAAATAAATAAGCTATTCTATTTTACTCGAAGAGGAGCTTCAAAAATTTCATCCGCTGATAAATATGTTATTGCAGTCAAATTTTGAGCGCGACAAGTGGCGCCGTCTTGACTAATACTGCGAGCAGCATCGGGATGTGGATACATACGATGTTATGTGTACTGGTAATTTTGATAAACCAGCCGGCAGAGCACTCACACGCTCTACCTCTCGATCGTACTCGATCTTACTTTTCGTGATCTATTTTATGTGCCATGTGTTCTTACCTTATTACTTACAAATAATATATATATAGAACAACCTTAAAAATTATTTACTATCTTTAATCAAACGCCAGTGATATAGAGCGCCATGTCGCGGGAAAGCAGCTAGTTTAGGTATAAAATATATAATTAATTGAAATGAATTTACGTTTTCCTTACCTATATGCTTTTAATCTTATATCTACGTAATTATATTAATTAATTGTTGATGGGTTCATCAAACTTTGGAGAACACTTAACAACCCAACGTTCAATGTCTGTTAATTGCTTCAATTTCACCAATGTCACACAACGTAACTCGTTAGACGATTTATTCATAAAAAAGTTAGTTCTTTGTTAAGGTGCTTCCTCACCCATATTATTTGGTAGTAATGTAATGTAACATGTCAGATTCTATTTCGAACATTACATTAAAAAATGCCTCTCTCACTTGAGCATTTGCCTGTAATGTTATATATCAGATTCCTTTCTGATTATCTGTTTATCGAGCATTTTCATCTAATATAACATTTCAGATTCTTTTTTGAGCATCACATTAAATAACTGCCTCTCTCGCTGGAGCATTTTAATGTAATGTAACATATCAGTTTCTATTTTGGGCATCTCATTAAAAAACTGCCTCTTTGACTTGAACATTAGCCTTTAATGTAATATTTCAGAGATATTACCAGTTGTGTCAAGTATTATCAAGTTTAAACTGATTACACGGCTTTCTTCCTTCGCCAATGTCATACTACAATCTGCAACATTACAAGTTCCGCAATATTATACTCGATTCTCCTCCTTCACTGACGTAATATGCGACTTATAACGTTACATTACTTGCAAATGCCTGGATAATATCAGGGGACACATTTATACCTTAATTAAATTCTGTTTGAAGTAATATAAAGTTTTTTTTTTACATTTGATTGTCCTGATAGGCAATTATTTAGTTGATAATATGTTTTTGATTGAAGCGATTATTATCAATAAACACTTCAGTGAACTAAGAGTTATTAGTAACTAAACTATGCAATTAAATCATTATGCAATAAAAGTTAAAACAACTCAGCTACTAACAAGACCATACATTTCGTTGGCATTTTTTAAGATTAGTTTTCCATTTAGCTACAAAAGGCGATTGAAAATTATTATTTCGATAGCTGCCATAGCTTTTCGATTCATCACACCAGAAGGCTTGTTGAGATGATGATAAGAAGCCACTCGTAATTACTTGAGGCGAATCAGAATTCGACGGCCTTTTTTATTTTATAAATACATATAATATTAAGAAATACATTACTTCAGTCGCTAGGTTTGTAATTGAATTTAATATATACATAAACATTATCTATTAGTTGGTTAATTGTGGAATTTACGAAACTTTAGAACATATGCGACATGCGTTTCATAGATTTATGTGGAGCAGGAATGCATACTCTTTAACTTTGTGTAATTCTTGAAAATTTTCCCAAATATATTATTATTTATAAATTAATACAGCATTACAGAAAGGTAAAAAAAACTTTTACAGAAACTTATTAACTTATTCTTTTTGGTATATGAAACTGAAATGAAACACTATTGAACGTGAATAA